TATTGTTTGTACTGCCATTCTTCTTTTAATTTTCAACTTTGTCCAATTCAATGTATTTGAGCATCTTGAAGAGAATCCATTTTTAAAGAGCATATTTTATAATGGGGAACGTTCTTCCTATACATGGATTTGACAACTATTTTTGACCAATAATCGTGACCATTAGATGAAGCAAATTCAACAGTCAGTATATATTTTATTAGGATCATGAAAGAGTTAGTTATAATCATTTGAAATCCATGAGATACTAATCGCTGGATTTGCTTCATCTAAAGGTCACGATTACTTGTCAAAAATACTTGTCAAATCCATGTATAGGAGGAACGCTTCCCTTCTGTAATTTAGATAAAATTTAGAAAGTGAAAATTTTGAAGTACTCCAACATACTCTTTATATTTATCACTTAATTTATTACTCCCAAAAAATGTTGATTATTTTTCTCTATCTTTTATATTAATTAACTTTTTTGTAGATTATTATATTATTTTTCTATATTGAAAATTGAAATATTTCGAATGTATTTAATTATAGAAAGTGGGTTTGGCTCATTTTCTAAATTAAAATGTTAATTTAAAGAGTTTTTTTAGTATGATTTTAATGATTGTCTATTTAAAATAGAAAGCATCTTATGTTTAAAGACTCTCTTGAAGGTACTCTTAGCACTTGTTTGAGCTCCATTATAATGTGTTTTTGTGGGAAATATATTTGGGAATGGTGATTTTTTTTTAAGAATGTATGGTTAAAAAAGAAGGAAAAGTTTTAGGTTTAAATGCAAAATTATTTATTGGAGAGAGAAAAATGCATTTTGAATAAAATGGAACCCAAACATGATCGAAACATACTCGTGTGAATAGAAGTTTGATAAAGCCCATATCTCTGTAATACATGAAATTTGACCAGTCTTGAGTGATTTATATAGATCCTCTCTTTAATACTATTCAGCTATGCCAACTTAATATATCGAGTATATCATGTTTTCTAACTTTAAAAAAAAAAAAAAAGGGTTTCTTTTCACTGTTCATGTAATGTTATAGAAATGACCAATATATGAATCTAATTAGTGAGAAATATGTGTGTGCAGGCAGTGGTAGCCAGTCTTGCAAATAACAATGTGATGATAGTATTAGACAATCAAATAAGCAAGCCAGGTTGGTGTTGCAGCAATTCTGATGGAAATGGCTTCTTTGGGGATCAATATTTCAACCCTGACTTATGGATAAAGGGCCTAACCAAGGTAGCCACAATGTTTAAAGGGACAAAAAATGTAGTAGCCATGAGCTTGAGAAATGAACTTAGGGGCCCAAAACAAAATGTAACTGATTGGTACAGGTATGTATATTCAAACTAATACGTGTATGTGAATTGGTATAGATTTAAATGAAGGGTCATGTAGTGTGTGGCAAATTTAGGCTACTGGCTTCCGAAAGCTGGTGGCAGAGGTGGGTTCGGTCTAGCTTTAATTTCGTCGATAGCCCTTCATCTAATGTGTAGTATATTGTGTGTACCAAAGCCGCTTTTCTAAGCAATATGACTCCATTTGCTTACCCTTGGGAGTCCCCCGATTTACCAGATAAGTACTGGGGAGTCTTGGACGTGCGGAGAAGAAGAGGGGGAAGGGATCAAATGCTACTTGAATGGCATTTGTGTACACGTTTCTATTCTTATACTTTCATTTATATTGATGTAGGTACATGCAAAAGGGTGCTGAAGCAGTGCATGCTGCAAATCCAAATGTTCTCGTCATACTCTCGGGACTGAATTACGACAAAGATCTCTCTTTTATCCTCAACAAGCCTGTACAACTAACCTTCACTAACAAGCTAGTTTTCGAGGTACATTGGTACGGTTTCTCCAATGGAAAGGAATGGGAAACATCCAATCCAAACCTAGTTTGTGGGCAAGTTTTAGGCAACTTAATGGGGAATGCAGGTTTTGTTTTGGGGCAGGGGTTCCCTTTGTTTGTGAGTGAGTTTGGAGTGGATATGAGGGGCACTAATGTCAATGACAATAGGTATTTCAATTGCTTCATGGGATGGGCAGCTGAATATGACTTGGATTGGGCATTGTGGACGCTTGCTGGGAGTTATTATTTGAGAGAAGGGGTTGTGGGAAGGAATGAATATTATGGGGTTTTGGATTGGAATTGGTGTGACGTTAGAAACTCAAGCTTCCTGCAAAGGTTATCTGTTCTGCAATCTCCTTTCCGAGGTATGTTTGAGAATACCAGAAAATAAGACAATAAGTTGGTCTATGTTTTCATATCTATCCCTTAACAGTTTGAACTGAATCACTATTTATCCATTTAACAAATTATTCTACTTCATATTTTTGTGCTGAATGCAGGGCCAGGTTACGATGAAATTCGTCCCCATAAAGTAATTTTCCATCCAATGACTGGTCTCTGTATCCAAAGGAAATCATTTTATGAACCCTTGGTTTTAGGTCCATGCTCTGAGGCTGAAGCATGGACATATACATCAAGGAAAACAATAACAATTAAGGGCACATACTTCTGTCTACAAGCAGTTGAATTGGGGCTACCAGCAAAACTTGGTGTAATATGCAGTTATGCAAATTCAAAATGGGAAACTATCTCAGAATCTAAAATGCACCTCTCTTCTAATTTAGAAGATGGCAGTAGTGTCTGTTTGGACATCGACTCGAACCATTCCATTGTTACGTTTGCTTGTAAATGCTTACATAGAAACAGTACCTGTGACCCAGGAAGCCAGTGGTTCAAAATCATTGACAGCACAAGATGTACATCTGCTATGAAATCCTCAGTTGGGATCGTCTCGACCTTCTATTTCATGGCAAAGAATCTGTTAGCAAGTTTTAGCTAGTAGCATGATACATAAGAGATTCATGAAACATTTAAAGACGCTGTTCACGTAGCTAACATGAATCATGAAATAAATAGATTGTCTGTGAAAAATTGTAATAGAATGTTTGGTGTACAGTACTCCACAAAAGAGACGGTACAATTGACAGAATTTGAGTTTCTTTTCTTTCGCAACATTGTCTAGTACTGTCTAGTCTATCTTACTTTGCGTGTCATAGTACTGATGACATTTGCTATGGGTAAATTAAGAAGAATACTGATTATATAAACGACATAGCCATTACAGGATAGTTGTTGCAAGGTCACAACAATGATGATTTTACAAGAAAAATCCTATTACCAGTTTCTTATTTATTGAATGTGATTTCTTCTGCTGGCAATGAAAATAGTAATGTTTACCCTCTTTACATCCTGATATTCCACTAAATTGATAAACCGTGGAGGTGATGATATTTAATGAAACATAGATAAAAATGTAGGAAAAGATGAATTTTTGAAGAATGAAAATCAAACTTGGGCTTAAATTTCTTTTGCTCTTAATAATTAACGTCTTCGCACCTCACCAACAGCCATTTATTGATAATTTTACGAGAAATCTAGAAGCATACTGATGATTGTACGAATGATTTTCCCCAGAACAATCCTACTATTGGGAATGTTAATTCTTCAATGTGATCTATTATACTAACATTGACAATAGTGATACATCACATTCTTCACATCCTTGCATTTCAATAATTTCATAAACCATGAAGGACACGATATATAGCCCGAGTTTAATCTCCATTTCTTAAAACCCACAATTTTTATTAACTTTTCAACCATACATTTCACCAACTTTTATCAAAATTTACGGGGGTGTCCCCATTTTAGAGTTTAATAGATTTCTTAATATTTATAAATTCTCATGGATTGTGTGAAATTTGATAAAATTTAATAGATTTCATAAGATTTGAATGGATTTCTATTTTGTAGATTTTAAAAGATTTTCATGGATTTTATAGATTTCAATGGATTTTATAGATTTTGGTTAAAATTTATAAATATGCTTAACATAAGCCACAAATTTTTACTTCTTCTTTAATGACTCATTCTTACACATATGCACGTTAATAAATCACAGCAAATGATCGAATTCTTGTTCAATTGTTTGTTAAACATTGAATATTATAACAGAGTTTCAATAAAAAATACACCCAATATTCAACAAAATGTGAGAGTGGGAGAGGACAAAAATATGTAGTGTTAAACAATCAAAGTCGTAATCAATATGAATTAGTTCAAAAGGCCACAACCTTGTGAGATACAAATACACAGATGTACACATACATGACCACAAGGCAATTAATTTCATACCCCCAGAATTCTAATCAACCATGCAGACACAAAAGAAAAAATTGTGGGATAACATCCTCACATGTTTTGGCTAGGATTTGCAAGTATATATAGAAAACACACAGCTCTTTCCCAAGAAAAAGGAATAGGGTACAGAACTTGAAAGATGAAGTTGTTCCAGTATGCATACTAGAAATCGTAAATTACTATGATAATTTCCAGCATATCTATAAAATAGTAAACAATATATAACTTCAATAAGAAAAAATAAGTTCAATAAAAAATCACACCCAATATTCAACAAAAAATAGTAATCTTTCATAAATTATCATCAATTGAAAAGTTCTCATACACGATCTTTTCACAGTAGAGAAATGTGAGATAGAAAGAAAAAGAAAATCTTGTTGAAAATGGAGGGGGGATAGAGAGAGAGGGGGTAGCAAATATGGAGAGAGGTGAGAAATGTTGTGAAATTTTTAGGTTTGAGTTAAAATTGTTACTGATTCTTTGTACTTATATTTTTACCTTGAAATCCTTCAAAATCTATCAAAATCTATCTACTTAATGAAATATTTTAAAATCAACTAATTATTGAGGAAGTCTAAATTTCAAAACTACCTATTAAAATCTATGTTGAGGACACCTAAATTTATAAGTATTTTTAAAAATCTAGATTGGGGACACCTATATTTGAATGAATTATATTTAAATCTGAATTGAGGATACTTCAATTTATATGGAGTTTTAAAATCTATCAAACTCTAAATTGAGGACACCCCCCTTACTAATTTTTATCCAAACCAAAGGGGCATAATACAATATATAGCTTAAAGTCGGCTGAGCAGAAGCACCAGGCCTGGATTAATGTGCCACAGTAGATCAATACATGCAGTAGGTTAATAAGGACAAGAAATACAACAGAGAGATTTAAAAGATTACAATCCATAATAGGAAACAAGTTTCAAATTTAGATCAAGTTTCATGCCGGATACCATAAACGATCCCACAAGACGTCTCTGAACGAGTTATCGAACATTGCATTCATAAGAGAACAGAAGTAACAATCGTTTGATGAGTTCCGTAAGAAAAACTATCGGCATAGTGAAAAGAAAAGCTCATTCTTCCATTGCATCACCTCCTTCAATCACTTCCACCATCTCTCTCAGTGGTGTAATCTTTGTCCTCAATACCTCTGGAAGGAATATAAATATTATAGCGTTTATGTTGATAACTCATTCAAGAAGTGCATAACATTGTAAAAAATCTTTATTACAAATGCTTTCTTTTATTTCTGTCAGCAAACAAAGGGCATTTTTGGCATGAGCATTCAAAAGCCAAAAGCTGATTTTGAGCCTAAGAAGACTGCTTTTGTGGTTTGGACAATTTCCTTTGCCTAATTAGATGAACTTTTAAAGGATGTTAGCTAAACGTGGCTTCCTTAAGAAGCTGTTCTACAAAAGCAGCTGCCCAAATGGACCCTAATTATGTGTACAAACATAAATGGAATGAAGATACTGACCAGTCTTTTTGGAAAAGGAATAACCCTTCTCACTAATATAGGTTCGGGGATTCGGCAACATGTGGTTTCTCAGATACTCCTTCGCCCCCTGAAAGGCAAAAATAACTTGATTGTAGAAGCCACTTTCCACTAGTACCAAGATGCATTAAATGTGGTTGATATATTAGGGGGGAAAAAATCAAAAAATGATCATAAAAAAAGCAGAAAACTAACCTTGGTTATTACACAGATATCTACATTGCTTCCACTTCCCAAGTCATTGAATATGCCAGAGCATATGGCCTCAGATACTAATTTTACACCTTCATCCCTCTATTAATTCATTGGTATAATTATTATGATGGATTCAAGATTTATCAAATCATGAAATTCTATGCATTTCAGAAAAATATAATACTGTAAACATACAGTCAGCCCTTCACGGTATTTTGACTCAAAGACAGCCATTGCAGCAAGGGAACCGGAACCCATTGTGGCAAATGGGAGTGTGTCAGTTGAACCATGTGGATATATCTGGAAAATAAGTCATTCAAGACTCTCAGTCAAATATCACACTATTAAAAAAATAATAATAAAAAAAAATAAAGAACTCGATAGATCTAGATGCAAAAGTAACTCACAGTATGTAAATGTGGGCCTGTGACATCAACTCCACCAAGCACCAAAGCTGCTGAGACGTATCCTTGGTAGCTAATAGAGGGAATAAAAATTTAGGCCTTCTAGAATTACAATATAGAAAAACTGGTAATGCTCGGAACACGAGATCACCTGAAAAGATGAGACTTCAACAGTGAAAGAGCTGTCACAACCCTCGACTCACGACCAGTGTGATAACGGTGCAGCTTCAGCTGGGAACTTACCATGTCTAGAAAAAGCCATTGCAATATGAAAATTACACTAAAAAAACAGACAAATTAGAAATGAACATGCTGATTGCACAGCGACATGAAACAAAAATTAAGGATACCTGTAACAGCTTCTGTATCAGCAGCAGTCCCAGCTCCACAGCAGTAAATATTTGGGGCCATGTAATGAATTTTCTCGCAATTCTTATCTGCAACAATGGGTCCTTCAGTGGCTCGTGTGTCTGCTCCAAGAATGACACCATCCTGAATAATAATGGATTGTTAACAGAGGATGAGTTAATTAAGCATCTAGCCACACTCTTCATGTCTTATGAACCAAGGATAACTGAATGTATTTAAGAAAGCAACATCGTGTACACAGTAAAGGATGCGATAAAAAAAAAAAAAAAAACCAGCTGGTTATGTTAATGCTTTTCTATTAAAGAACACAACTTGTCTAAGTATGCCTAGAATTATTTCATAGAAGCTTCATTAAAATAACGTCGTTTATCCTTTCTATAAAATTTCGCCTGAATGGATTCACTCAGGCCTTCCAGTTGTGGGAATCAACTACAGCTTCCAATGCTAATAGATCATCATTGCAGGAAATATGTGTCTTATGTGCACCTCATTCTCTGCATATATATCAAGCATTACTTCCCTCTTTAATCCAAAATCGAAGTAGATTAAAACGTGGAATAACTGGCTGCAATTTCGCAGTTTGAATTAATGTTCTCTGCCATGTTTCAACCTCTTCTACGCACCTTTTCATGACAGAAAACCCGTACTAATAGGTAAAGGAAGATGGGATTTTAATTCATCTTTCCTAACATATTACAGAGATACACCTATATGTATATGCTGTATGATTTTAAAAAATCATTCCAAGTAAATATAAGATCATTATCATACCATAAAATGACAGTCAACATGGTAAAGATACGAAAAACAAAAATGACATTCTCAAAATGCTGGTAAAAGAATACAAATAATTGTTCTCCAGTATCGAATAGAATCTCATAACAATTACAAAGTAAATATATCGTTGTTAGTACCAGAGTCTGATAACTATATTGCCCATACATTCTTCTTATTGTGGTGGTGGTGAAAGGTGATATTCATTATGCTTCCATCCCATCTATACTCCAAGAAAAAATTCAAAGTATGTGTGGTTAAAAATAAGAGGGAGAAATATGTATTTTTGAAAATAATGGGAACCGAACAAGGGCTTGATGAACTGCATTCCGAACTCTTTTTAAGAATATTATAGAGGTGCATAATGGTAGGTTATACAATTTTTACAACTGATATACACGAACATACATACATACAACTAACAAGATATTCTCTTAACCATATTAAAACCCAAAACTGAGCAAACACTTGTGTTTGACTATTCATTTAACCACAAAAGGGGGGGAAAATACCAGCAACATATTCCCAAACACTTGTGTTTGACTAATCAAAACCTAAAACATCAATCTATTTTGAACCCTGCTATTTTGCTGGAAAAGATTGACACCCCTTCTAACCGACCCCTTACAAGGGCGCCGACATTTTTTTATCCCTCCCCATATGAGTGGATATTAAGATTGACACACCCTTCTTGACATCCACTCACATGAAAGTGGGATCCATGTGGCCATGTGCAATAAAATTGCATTAAAAAATGTTAGCCCCCCACATTATTGCATTAAAAAATGTTAGCCCCCTCATGTGAGGGGGTATAGCAGGGTTCTAGATGGATTAAACTTGTTTGCCATGAGGATTTTGACACCTTTCTTGACATCCACTCACACGGGGATAGAATGCATGTGGGGTCCATATGCAATAAAAGTGCATAAAAAAATGACAGTCCCCATGTAAGGGAATTGGTCAAACCCTTCTTGCAACATAGCAGTGTTCAAAATAGATTGATGTTTTTGGTTTGGATTGAACTTGTTTGCCAGAAGGGTGTACACTTACACCCTTCTTGACATCTATTCACATGGAAGTGGGACCCACGTAGGGCCCATGTGCAATAAAAGTATTGGTTCGCGAAGTCTATTAGTTGCTAGCTTTCATTTTGAATCTTTCCCGCATCAGAATGTTTTTCTGATAACATAGCAGGGTTCTAGATAGATTAAACTGGTTTGCTAGAATTTGACACCCGAACCGTTCTCCGTTTCCAGGACACTCCTTTTGACCGACCCCCTCACATGGGGGCGATTATAGTGCACTTTTATTACACATAGGCTCCACATGGGTCCCACCCCACCTAATGCGAGTGGATGTTAAGAAAGGTGTCAAAACCCTCATGGCAAACAAGTTTTAATCCATCTATTTTGCTTCCCAGAGGAAAAAAAATCAGACTAATCACCAACTGTGAAAGCAATTATGTCATTTAAAAAATAAAACAACCCCAACAAAAAGCTCACAGAATTCCCAATTAATAGTCCTCTAATAGTCAATCACAACCGTTTCCAGGACACTCCTTTTGACCGACCCCCTCACATGGGGGCGATTATAGTGCACTTTTATTACACATAGGCTCCACATGGGTCCCACCCCACCTAATGCGAGTGGATGTTAAGAAAGGTGTCAAAACCCTCATGGCAAACAAGTTTTAATCCATCTATTTTGCTTCCCAGAGGAAAAAAAATCAGACTAATCACCAACTGTGAAAGCAATTATGTCATTTAAAAAATAAAACAACCCCAACAAAAAGCTCACAGAATTCCCAATTAATAGTCCTCTAATAGTCAATCACAATACATAACAAACCAATAATCATACAAAAATAAATATACTAATTAGAAGAAGAAGAAGAAGAAGAAGAAGATAGTCTCAATCACCTTAAAGATTAAGCCGACAATGGTGGTCCCAGTCTTGAGAAATGAAGGTTCCTTCAAACCCTTCTTGACAAGCATGTCATTCCTCTTGCACAAATCGAAGCTGAACCCACCCTTTGGTGGCATCTCCATTGCTTCCCTTGACATCTTTACTAGCTATTCTTCTAATTGATCTAATCAAGAAAAAAGACACAAATTCTATTATAACGATTAAGAGCTAACATTAGAAATACATTTAGCACTTATGTAAGCTTAAACATACATACACAATAAGTAATATCGTTATATTTGTGAAAAATAGTGAAAGTATTGAAGACCCACCGAAGATCCAGCGGAGCGAGACAGATTAGTTACCGGAATTCTTTGAAATAGGGCTTTAGAGCAGGGAGGCTTGGTGGAAAAGAAAAGGAGAGGGGGCATTTGTGTAATTTTGAGAAACATTTTGGGACGAGGATATATTACAATGTGGTCCGCAATCTTTAATAAATTAAGCACATGAGTTCTTCTTCTTGATTTCGACCACCTCATGTCCTCGACTTTTAAAAATTCTTCTAGGGGTCCCAAACTTTCCTTTTGTTCCATTTTATGTCCTCAATCTTCCGTTTAGGCTAACTCATATCCTCAACCTTTTAATATTATGCACAATGTAATCTAACCAATAGAAACCATCTATTTAGACAGCAAAAATGAAATGCAATAGGAATTTGATAAAATGCTTGATGGACATAATTGTCTAAAAATAATTTTCTCTAGTTTGAACAAATCCTGGATGGATATAAACCCGAGAAGATTCAAAATTTGAATAGAACATAATGTAAATCACCCACTAAAATAGCATTCGACGTGCTAGAAAATTATTTTTCAATAATTATGCCCATTAGTCACGTGTCATCTAAATAGATGGTTTTCATATGACTAAGATACTACGTGCACAATTTTTTATGCTTAGAGGCTAGGAGTGGCCCAAAAGAACATGGTGTGGCAAAACGTATAAAGGTTGGGGATCCGTAGAGGAACTTACACTTAATTTTTCGTAACATATTGCCTCCAATCTTTTGTCTTTGGTGTACATTATCCTAATTTTAGATCTTCATATAAATTTCGTAATAATAGAAATTGACTAATTTGTGCATATTAAATTCTAGCCCATGTTTGATGTAGTTAAAAGATCAAATTTTTAGTAGATTTTGATAAAAATTAATAAAATATTTAGTTGAAAAGTTGTGATTTTCATGAATTATATAGTTAAAATTAATTGTCGACTTTGATTTTTTTTTTTCAAAATTTTAAATTAAACCAATTAGGGTCCTAATGATTTTTAAGTGTCAAATTACTTGTGCATATATATATATATAGTAAAGTTTTCATTGATTCACTTTTGCTTAAGAAGAAAAAGCTAAACAACAATGGCCCCGACCTTCTCCAATCCCTTGGCATTTACTTAGGGTAGCTGTGTTGGATAAAATTCTTCCTAAATATCATGCTCTACTCTTGCAACATGTATTTATTGCATAATGGTGACATGATTTGACATTACAATAACAAGATTTTCCTTTTATTTTTTGTCCAATAATCATCAAAATTCATATAAAGGTTGAATTCATGTTGACTTTGGTCCATAATTACCAAGGAAACGATAAAGAAGATTCACAATCGTGTATATGTTCAACGTGCTTGATTAAGCTAAAAAAATTTAATAAAACTTTTTATTTTTTTTTCTCATTTTTAAATCAAATAACCATCAATCATCCAATATCATCATCAACAAGAGTTTCAACACTACGATTAGAAGGTCTATCTTTCCAAATACTATCCTGGGAAATGAACAAAATTTGTGTCACTAGACCATGTGCAGTGCCATTCACTTTATGCAGACGAACTTGTCAATGAGACTGAAAAAGATGTTGACAATATATTAATGCAACTTAAGATCACACCTTCTAGTGCATGAAAACTAGATACAGTACAAAAATTCGTTTCTCAACGTTGATGCAGAATAACGTTGTTCAACAGCGAATATAAGCATCTAAATTTGAAGCTCATTCGTCTGTGATGCGCAAGATTCTTTCATGAATTGACTTAGATAAGAAATCTACCATGACTTGATTTCATAAAGATAAATAATCCCCAATACCATTAAGTCATGTCCCTCGTTTACGTCAACGTCAATATTCTTAGCTTGATCCTCAATAGATCGATAGAGGCTGCCATTTTTCTATTAATTGTAAAAGCAGCATGTTGTTGAACTCTGCTATTTGCAACATATAATCTCACCCTTGTATTAAGTGGAAAAGGGACTATTTTCTAAATGAAAATTTTAAACACTGTTGGAAGTTGACACAACTAAAGACGGTGTTTGTGACCCATTTTCATGTAAAAATGTATTTTAGAATAGTAAATTGATGAAAAATGTGTGGTTAAAAAATGAGAATTTTTTTGATTTACGTGTAATATTATTTTAATAAAAAATGTGTGATTGAAAAGAAGAAAGAAAAAATGTATTTTGAAAAAAATAAATACCAAACGGGTCCTAAAGAAAATTCCACCACCATTTCAATTGTTTGAGCATGTCTATGAGTCTGAGTTTCGGATGGAGAGTACTAATTGAAACTCACACTTACTGAGTAAATATAGAATATCGGATGAATTATTATTTCTTACTATTAAGTAAAATTACTTATTTAACTTATTATAACATTAATCCCTTGTTTGAGCTCCATTTTTTGAAAAAAAAAAATAATAACAAAAATGAATTCTTGAATAGTGTTTTGACCACATTTCAACGGAAACATTATTCAATAAAATAATATTACACGTAAATTCAAATTTTTTTTTTATTTTTTAACTACACATTTCCCATCAATACACTATTTAAGAAATTCATTTATTTTTATTTTTTTTTATAAAAATGGGGCTCGAACGTGGGGTAACTAACAAAAAATATTATTTTATTTTAATTGCTTTTAAGTAAATTTTGGAAAAAAATGCGGCTAGGATCCCTAACCTTTCAATAAGTGCAATACGGTCTCAAACTTTCAATGTTTTCCACACCGTCCCAATTTTTAAGGAAAATATGCGGCCAGAAGAAGGCCTTTAGATGTTAACAGTCCAAGAATTCATTATTCAATGGGTAAATTGCAGCTGCTCACTTTTTGAAGGTTTGGGATCCTGTTGCACTTTTTGAAAATGTTAGGAACCCCAGCTGCAATTTCCCCTAAATCTATTGGCACCCTTTACGTTTTACAGTAGCCCATATCAGATCCAGCCCACAATCACTGGCCTGCGAACACCCCGTCGAACTGAGGGGTACTTTTCAAATGGGCTAAGTCAAAGAACAAGTTTTGAACTTTGACCAATTTTTTTTTCATTCCCTACATTGGCCTCTTGTGTTGAAAAAGACAATTGTGCCCTTATCATGTGCCATAATTACAAAAATATGTTAATTCTTTAAAAGACCATAATACCCTTAAAAGTTTAAATAAATTCAATCACTTCCCTACGTAAATTTCAAAATCAATTTCGTTTGTCAGTTTCTTCAATACAGTTAAAAAAATTCCCTCTTCCATCTGCTAGAACAATGAAATCTTACAAAATTATCAAATGTTCAACAAAAAAACATTACTCACAGTCGGCACTCAAAATTGGTAAGTGTAAATATGTATTTTTAATTTTGTTTTAGTTAAAGTAGTATACTGTTTGAATCTTTAAATCTTATTTCGACAAAGGTAGATGAATTATTATAGTATTAAACACATATGTATTATTTTTTTTAGCAAAAATGAAGAAAGAAATCATCTGTATGCATATTTTTTCAAGAAAAATTCATAGTATTTCGTTGGAAAAAAATTCCAGCCGATCAAGACGTCCAACAGCCGGCCCGGACGTACGGGCCTCCGCCTTTTTTTGTTATTTAATTATTTTTTTAATGTTTAAGATTTTATAATTTATTTGTTCATATTTAATGTATATTGTTTATTGTAAATATTAATGAATATTTAATACTAATTGAAATAAATATTTTTAAAAAAATTAAAATAATCAATGAATTATTATATGTATAAAATCAAATTAAATATGAAATGAACAATTTAAAAAATTATGTATTAATTCTTTATGTTTAATCTATTATCTAATATTTTTAATTTGTGATAGATATGACATCAGCATGTGTTCCAATTTGTTACTTCGGTAACTTTCAAATGAATGAAAATGCTCAGTAAGAATGGAAATGGACGAGTGAAGGAGATGGGTGTACGACGGAATTTCGTGTATTAAAATACAGAAATCGTTACAAATTGTATTTTGATAAATACAAGTGATGTTGACCTTCTTGTAATTGCAAAATTGCAAAATCCTCTGATTAATGCTCTAAATATTTGAAGACGAGGGCCATGTCGCTTGAATCCTGGTCTTCAATAATTTGTTGAAAATCTGATTTGTCGAGATTTGACTTGTTTGGAACTTGAATCTTGAAGCTTGGACTTGGACTTGAATTTGATTTAATTTGAAGAACACTTTCATCTTCTTGGATTTGGCGTGAACCTGTTTGATTCGAAGAAGATTTTAATCTTCTTGGGATTCACCGAGTTAAGGTTTGACAGAATTTCTTCCATTCTTTCAGCCTTGAGATTTCTTCAGCACTTCGTGGCGTTCTCTGCTTTCTTTTCTTACTTGCTTTCTGTGTCCCCCGTCTTATGGACCATTGGTCTTATTTATAGGGGAGGAGTAGAGCTAATTTTGGTAATTACTCAATTATATTTAATTAAAAGAAATAATTGAGTAATTATGGTTTTATTTATTTTGTTTGTTTATTTATTTAAAATTTGGTATGGGCCTTTGGATTTTATGGACTTTAGTAGGTTTAAATTTAATTGGGCTAATGATTTAAATCGACACAATCCATTTTATTTTATTATTTTTTTATGTCTACGAATGCCCTCTCAAAATTTATTTATTTATTTATTATGAAATAAATAAATTAATAAATCTTGATTTCTTTTGAATTGTTTGATTTTGATTTTTTTTTATTTAATTTGATCTCAAACATTTCATTAGTAAATTAAACAGATGAAATATTTGAGAATAAAATGTGAATTTGATAAAATTCTTATCCTTCAAATTTGAGAATAAGATTTTTTATTTTTTTATTTGTTGAATTTTGATTATTTATTTATTTTATACGATCCATAACAAATTTGATTTGAACGGGCTTTTATGTTTCATGATAAATTGGGTTTAAATGAAGCCCGTTACCCGACTATTTATACGAAGGAATTATGAGACTTAAGAACAAATCTGTTAAATCTTACAAACAGAGGTAAAGTATCTATTTTTTTATTTATTTCACGTTTTTTTTTTCTTCTCTCTTTTTTTTAATTATTATTTTAATTTTTCTTGGTTTCGACTGTGCAGAAACCAAAAAGTGCAAAAACT